TACATTCATGCAGGCTGCCTGTGTGACCAGTAATACCTACAAACTGCTCCTGATCAAGTCATGTTAATTTTATAATAGTGGCACACTCTGGCCCAACTACTGTCTAGTTGTCTCTCACTAGTCTGTGGGCCAGTATTGGTTTAGTAATTTCATAATCCTTCCTCCCTGAGATCAAGCAGCAGAAATTATGTGACAATGAGCAAATACTACTGATGGATTTTTGGGTAAACTAAGCAAGTAGTCTTACATGTCACTATATCTAAAACAGGGCATTTTGGGGTGCGTTAAAAAAGGGCAAACATTGAGAGTATACCCACTTCTCCAGGGACCTCTACACCACTGGGTGTGAGGGTAATTTTTATTTAAATTGAAAAAAAATGAATGAAGAAAAAAGTTGGGCTGGAGCAAAAAGGGCACTTTTCACATCCAGGGCAAAAGGGCAGGTGCTTGAGCACCACTAGGGGTCTATCTGTGCATGTGCCTGATGTAAGAGAAACAGGATGCAGGATGACATGAAGGTCAGGTGAGTGAGTGAGAGAGAGCTAGAGTCTCAGCCAGGAAGACAGTCTTTTAAAGGAATAACACTGGGCCCAGGTGCTTCAAACTAGGAGTCTATGCCCACCAGTTACCTGCTGCATCACACAAAAGAATAGGTTAACTAAGGCAGGGGCTGTCACAGGTCATCAGCATGGTTTTGCACTCACCATTGATATGGGAGAGGGGTGGGTCATTGAAGCACCCGGAGAAAACCCTCCGAAATTAAAAAAAATTAAGTGAAGAATCTGGCGAAGATACTGCGCTGCTTTGTCAGGTGACCTTTCAACAAGGAGGCAATGCATTTCTCAACTTCTGGGTCGCCTGCTTCCATGGCAGCCAGCACTCCTGCTGCTGAGCCAAACTTCATTCTCAGGTCCTCAAAAATGGGTATGTGGAGGTTTGCAACTCTTTCTGCAGTGATGTTGACATTGGTGTCCACAAAGTGATCCGATATCTTTTCTGTGAGCCATTTGATGGTTGACTGCGGGTTTTTAAAGAAGATCCAGATCATTTTTGCTTGATTCAGTGTTCTCATTATGAGGTTTATCACAAGAATCCTGATAAAATCATTTTTGTTTTGTGCCAGTGCTGCAGCATGCTGTTTAGGGTCAGCTGGACTCTGGTCGGGATCTGCTGGATTCTGGTTGTGATCAGCTGGAATATGGTCGGGATCAGCTGGACTCTGTTCAGGATCAGCTGGACTCTGGTCAGGATCAGCTGGACTCTGGTCAGGATCAGCTGGACTCTGGTCAGGATCAGCTGGACTCTGTTCAGGAGCAGCTGGACTCTGGTCAGGAATGGATGGACTCAGCTCGGAATCAGCTGGATCAATGCAAAATGACTGAGAGTCCATTAAAGCCTGTGTCGCTCTGTTGATGTGTTCATCAGCATGGCTTTGTACCCACCAGTCCATAATTGACTGGAAATTAATCACTCTGTCCCATATGTCTATAAGCATGGGATCCTCTGACTTGGGAACAGGCGTGCTGAAAGTCGGAGGTATGATATAAGTGTAGAGGAGATCACTCAACTGTTGTCTGAGTGTTAAATTATAAGCAGATGGAAGGTTTGCATCACCATTTAACAGAATTTCAATAGAAGCATTGAGTAACTGCAGATCCTCTTTGGTTTTGGCTGTGCTTGTCAGCTGAAACTTTGCATTGGTTTGTGCAATAATCCTATGGATATATGCTTTGGCAAAAGTCTCCACGATAAAGGTCTTTAGCCTCCTCTTCACTCTGTGGACTGAGATGAGCCTTTTGGGTCTTGGACCTTCAGACTCAGTCTTTACCATTTCCACTGTAGACAGAACAATGGCCTCTGCAGCAGTTTGAATCTCCAGACTGGACAGAGACTGTAGCAGGCTATACTCTMCMTCTGGCAGAACATCCAAGATCACTCCTGTGATCTGAATCATCTCCTTTCTGAGTATTTCTTTGACAGATTTGATGTTGTCACTCTCAACACTATTATTTAAGGAGGTGCTCTGTAATGTAGTCTCAACCTCCAGGTCGCTAGTTCTCTGCTTTCGGCATGGTACTTTTCGTATAGTGCATAGTGTTTTTATTTTGCCTGCAAATGTCTTCAATACATTGCAGGCATAAGAAACCATTTTGTTCAGTCTGCTTGTGTGAGTGACTTGTTTTAACTGAGGCTTTGATAAGGAGGACAGAAGGTGAGAAGTGTTGACACTCAATGAAACCTCTTCCACCAATGCAGATGTCAGTTTCTCCATGCTGGAAGAACGGAAAGACAAGCGTGGCGAAGTCAGCAGAACTTCAGCAAAACCTTCGGATACTACGTCACCGATACTCTCCTTCACAAGATCCTCCGATATGTAGACTCTGCTTTTTGACTGGTTGACCAAAAACCCAGAAAGGGTTGAGATCAAATTTAAAAGCAGCTCTGCCAGGGCAAAACTTGTGGCTTCGTCAGGTTTCCCAGATTCCATCAGTTCCCACTGGATTGCTGATAACCCCTCTAAGAAGGTTTGAATGAATGGCCGAACCATGTCGATTGTGATCTGTGGTTTATCTTCCATATTTTGTGGTGACAAGTTGATATCCATGGTTATCTTCAGTCAGTGCTGTGCTCTCTCGTATCTGAATGTACTCCTTGGTATTGTCGAATGCCTCAAGCACTGACAATGCGGGGACTGTTATAATTTAGCATTGCGATGCTACATCAAAGACAAACACAGAAATTTAATAGACATATAGAGAGCAATCCTGTTTAATGAAGAAGCACATCAAAGCACAAAGCAAGCATTTCTCTTTATTCAAAAGGAATGGTTCAAAGGCATTTGCTGTTTTGAGCTCTGCCCCCAGTCATTGTAACTTAGCAACAGTTGCTAAGCACCAAATCAAGTGGAAAAAAGGAGATATTTGTCGTATTGGTTTACTTTGTTGTTCAAAATTTAAATACTTGAAGTTGCATTTAATACAAACAACTGGAGTTGCAATTTATGAGTGTGTGCAATTTGGTGCAGATCCAAACTAAAATCAGGATTTGGTCAATTTAAATGTAGTTTCATAGGTGGACAATTAGGCCTAGTAGTTAACTAGAATATCATATATGCCTAAATTCAACAAGCAGATCTCCTCCATTGTTAGGTCTGGCTTCTTTCGGTTGAGACTTATAGCTAAGGTAAAGGCCTATCTCCCACCTAAAGATCTAGAGAGGGTAATTCATGCCTTCATAACTTCTCAACTTGATTAATGTAATTCTCTGTATGTGGGCTTAGACCATTTCCATTGTCACTTTCGCTATTTTCAGGCCATTTCTTTATTTGCTTGAGTTGGGACTTTTTGCAGCGCATGTATCTTCAAAATTTTTGAAATAGTCTTCTTAATTTGCACGTGTGTATTATCATGCATGATCCAGGTTTGAGACAGAGACAAACTGTACCACTTTAAGAGGAAGGAGAGAGACCCTGAGAGAGAGTGAGACAGTGAGAGGGAAAGATATTTATATAAGATGCATTTTGATGGTGTGTTTTCTATTAGCGTGTGTTGGACTCTCGGTCACCACAGGAAACGCATTTGCTGCCAATCTACTGCTCCACACTCCACTCCAGAAGGTGGCGGTAATGCGGGTATAACCTGGTTTGCCCCTGCCATTAAACACCGAAGAAGAGGAATGGGCGGAAGTTTGGCTGTGCTGTGGATAGAAGCAGGCGCAGCGACAGCTGTAAAGAGATAAAAACTGTTGTTTTAAACTCGTCCCGTCGAGTCTTCCGAGTTCGATCCCCTGGGACCAGCCTCACTCAGCACAGCGGCTCCCTCACCTGTGCAGATGGCGGCTGTGAGCGGCGTCAACAAAATGTACGGAGCGTGTTTCCAGGCTGCTCGTGTGGCGGCTGGACTGAGGGCGACGAGGCTGCTTCAACACAGAGCCCTGAGAGTCACTGTGAGTTCAATGTGATGGAGGTTCACACACACGACTGGATAACACAGTGAGCGAAGCTGGTTTCTCACCAGTCGTTAAATAGATAGATGGTTGACAGCAGAACGTCAAGGGCCGTGAGAGAAAATTAGCAACAAAAACAGATACGATCAATTAAAATTGCTGAAAAAGTAATACACATAAAATCTACTAAAAACTGTATAGCTGTCACACTCATTGCTTTGTCTGTGAATGCAAACTAATGTAGATTTGCTCAATGTCTCTAGTAGTTCATCATCCCTTGTATTCATTCTCTTATTTATAGGCTTATTTGTTGTTCTATTATAGTTCGTACTTTATTGTACATTCCAGTACTTTATTGCGTATCATTTACTTGTTATACACCTTTTGGTATGGCACAATAAAGTACTGGAATACACAGTAAAGTATTTAATATAATAGGCCTATAAACAAGAGACTAAATATAAGAGATGACAAACCTTGTGAGCAAAGCTGCAGTAGTTGTTTGACTTTGTATGTATGTAGGAGCGTGACATACTAAAATAAACTATGAAAATGAGATGCGCAGATGAAGTTTTTAGTTTCACATCAGCTCTATGAAGTGTTGTAGTTCAGGTTTTTGTTAACCCCTCATTTTCCGCTTTGAATGTCGAATCCGAAGCCAACTTCAGCCGGGTTAGCTTGTTAGCTTAGCTGTCGACCTCAAAGAGTCAAAGACGACGCGCTCATCAGGCGCCGTTTATTCTCATTATTGAATCTAACAGACGTCGCCACATGTTTTGTGAGTGTACACGTGTTTTACGAAATCAATTTGTAGCTTGACCTTGTGCCTGCTGCTGGGACTCTACAAAGCTAACGCGGCTAATGCTAAAGTTAGCTAGCTTCGTTCCTATTGGTCGAAGACAGGGGTGTGTGGGTGAAAGCGGAAATGTCATTTTAAAAGTCAAATGTGGAGAGAAATAAACAATACAGCTGTTTTTATTTGTTTAGCTGTTTTTGTGTGTTTATTTTTCAGATGTTCACACTGAGCTCTGGCTTTTCTCAATAGATCAGATTGAAGCCACGATAACTTATTTTTAATTATCTTAAAGTAAATTGAGTTGGCTAAAAAATATTTGTCCGGGGTGTCAATGTGTACAGGTATGTAGATCACTTTGCTGGATAAAATGTTATTACATTTTCGTCTCTTTTCACTTTAGATAGTGTAATCCACATGGGATGCATCTAGTACCAGTGTTTCACTTTTCCAGCCCATGCATATTCTGAGTTGTCCCAACATACACCCACTCAAATCAAAGCCCACGTGGGCCCCACTTAACATGTATACTGGGGTCATTGTAGTTCTTGTTGTTAATCTCACAGGCTATGTTAGTTCAATGCACGGCTTCAGTTATTTATCTTTAAATCTGTATTTATTTTTAGCTTCAATCTTAACAATCTCAACAAGCACAAGGCACCCATTAAAGATTTCTCCAGGAGGAATTTTCTAGTTATAATTACTATTGCAGATACATGGTACTATATATTCTTAAAAACAGCCACAGCATTGAATTATGACAGCATCCCTCTATCCTGTGTAATGCCTAAACTTGTCATGTCAATGATCCCAGCTGTTGCGGCAGTAAAACAGTAAATGTGAAAATAGTATCATGAAATCCCCTTAAGTAGAATGACATCGCACAAGTCAGTTTCTTGGATGTCATTATTTAGACCAAGATGAATTCATATATGCGGTATCTATTTTAGAATGATGTTGTCAGTAGCTCAAGCTTGTGTTCAATCTTTCAGGCCGTGCACCAGCAGCAGCCCTTTGACTCATCGCTGGAAAAGCCACAGTTCCCTGGAGCGTCTGCTGAGTTTGTGGATCAGCTTGAGTTTATCCAGCCCAATGTCATCTCTGGGATCCCAGTGTACCGGGTGATGGACAGGCAAGGAAATATCATCAACCCCTCTCAAGACCCTCAGGTACAGTCAGTCTGCATACAACAGTGTTTATTTAATATGGCACTCTCATGTCTACTTCATGGTTGTTTTGTGTGTTTCATCCCCACTCAGCTGTCCAAAGAGACAGTTTTGAACTTTTATCAGAAGATGACTCTGCTGAACACAATGGACCGCATTCTTTATGAGTCTCAGAGACAGGTATGTTTTTTTCCTTTAGCATTTCCTTGTTTAACCATGGATCAGGTTGAATACTGTAAAAGAGAGTTGATTTTTTTCTTTTCTCTTACAGGGTCGGATTTCGTTCTACATGACCAACTATGGTGAGGAGGGGACACATATTGGTAGTGCTGCTGCTCTTGACCCAAATGATCTGGTCTTTGGTCAATACAGAGAAGCTGGTACGTATCAGAGTGTGTGGATTTGGATCATTTAACTTGACCTAGCTCATTTTTATTTACAAAGTTACCTTTTCAAGTTCATTAAACTTTATATAGTGATTGAGCAATTTATCAATGTGTATTCACTTGACAAGAAATGCTGGTCTGTTTTTCCAAACTAATGAGATAGCTCAATATCCTTGTACTCTCCATGTGAACAATACCAATGTCCTGATGTACAAAGATAAAATACAATCAACAATGTCATTTATATTACTTAAAGACACAAATATCTCCCAATGCTTAAACCCAGTAGGCAATGAGGGGGGGCATCATCCCCTTTAAACCACAATGACTAAAAATTCATCCATAAAGATGTTACCAACTTTGGCAGGCAGGTAGGAATCAGCATAAACTCTGTACCACTTTTGCTGTGCACACAACAAGTTTTCTATTGCAGGGGTGTCCTCCCCCTCACCTCCAACAGATCATAGTAATTACATATGTTTTTATGTTTTTATATGAATGGCATTTTTTATTAGTTTTTCGGATTTTAACACGGACCTCAGGACTTGAATCTTGTTCGTCGAGAAAAGCAGAACATCATTTTTTTGAATGTGAAATAATTTATGTCAACTTTTATTTCTATTTCCACCTCTTACTTTGTAATAGTTGTTGTTGATCAGTAGATCAGAGTCAGCAGCTCAGTTCCAAGCTTGTTTTTTTAGCAGGTGTGCGGCTGCACGCTCTGGTGAATGATTATATTTGAGGCGAACAAAGCTTCAATTCAGTCAGTGAATCCCATGACACGTCTACAGCACACCCATGTCCAATTACATCAGTCACTTGTTCAGTCATTCAGAATAATCACTGTCGGTCTATATCAGTAAATCACATCAAACAGTATCAGAGGTTCTTCATAGCAAAAAATATATTAATGCAGCACAGTGCAGAAATGGCTTAGATAATTAATTTTCAACTAAATTGCAATCTAGTATTTGGCATGCTTTACATCAAATAAAACAAAATACATTAATACATTTAAACAGACATTTTCAAAACAGATTGTCTCTCTTTCTCTCATTGTTGTTATTGTCCCTCTCTCACCCCACACATGCCTTCCTGCCACCATACACCCTTTTAAATATGTCTCCCTGACACCCTAACTGCTCTCTCACCCTCTATACTCTTCTCTGAATCATTGCTTTGCTCTTCTGCGTTTTGCCTCCCTACCCTTGTCATTTGAATAATCATTGTACCATCGTACACTCCCTACTATGGACACTTAGTATGAAGACCATTAGGGCTCCTTGTTTTGAGATTAATTGTGTTAAAATTCCTATGCTGCCCTACAGGAGTGTTGATGTATCGTGGTTTTCCTCTGGATCTGTTCATGGCTCAGTGCTATGCCAATGCTGATGACCTCGGCAAGGGTCGGCAGATGCCTGTCCACTATGGCTCCAAAGACCTGAACTTTGTCACCATCTCCTCTCCTCTGGCCACTCAGATTCCTCAGGGTGAGTGTGTGTTGACTTCTCCAGTTGGGAACAACATAAATAAAAATATATTCACGCCGGATGTGTGTGTGTTTCAGCTGCTGGAGCTGCATATGCAGCCAAGAGAGAAAACACCAACCGTGCTGTCATCTGTTATTTTGGAGAGGGAGCAGCCAGTGAAGGGGATGCACACGCTGGCTTCAACTTCTCTGCCACCCTAGAGTGCCCAATGATATTCTTCTGTCGTAACAATGGCTACGCCATCTCCACCCCCACCAACGAGCAGTACAGAGGGGATGGCATTGGTAAGAAGCCGTGGTACGGATTTCTACAGAATCGAATTATCTATCCGCAGCTGCTTTTATGAACACATGCTCTTTGTCTGATCAAACAGCTGCTCGTGGTCCAGGTTATGGGATGCTGTCTATCCGTGTCGATGGTAACGATGTGTTTGCCGTGTACAACGCTACAAAGGAAGCTCGACGTAGAGCTGTGGCTGAGAACCAGCCTTTCCTAATCGAAGCAATGACATACAGGTTAGTTGAGTAGTAGACACATAAAACTGTTTAAGGCGTACAGCTCATAATCCTTACTCATTCATCACAAGGGATGTCGTGATTAACCAATTTTATGATATCCATTGTTTCATAACCATAACAAATGTAAAAACTACGATATCTAACAATGGCGTCCTGCCTCTCGTGCCGTGCGGTAAAATCTCTCGCGAGTCACGTTCTGTGTGTGCGAGCCACTGAGAAGTTAGTTGAGAAGAGGGAAGTGACTTAACAGCCTTATTTCCACCAACGCTGGACAAAAAACTCCATCAGAGGAGTTCACAGCAAGAGGAGAAATCCTTGTTACGTTCGGCTTCTGACCAGCTCTGCAGGAACGGCTGACACACCTCTCTCTCTCTCTCTCTCTCTCTCTCTCTCTCTCTCTCTCTCTCTCTCTCTATTAACCATTTTAAATGTAGCTGAGAGTTTAATACACCTACTGAGAGGTAATAGTATAATAAGGACATGAAGAATGTGGCTTGAACCAGAACAGTCTACCTGTTTACTTTTTCCCAACTAGTCAACACTTGGCTCCCAAAATAGAACAACTTCCAGTGGTGACCCTTCACAATAAAAGTCCCATACAGATACTCTTCTTATGCTGACAGGAAACACAAATTAACTGACAAAATAAAATAGCGTACATAAATTACTTTTAAATAGCCAAACGTTATGCTATAAACGTTACTATAAAAACTAACTGGATATTGTTGATGATAATAATAAATATTTTAGTTCATTAGGCTATATTATTAGCTATATATTTGCTATATATTGTTTGTTGTGTGTCTTTTTACTTAGTAGTGAATAATCGGGAAAATCTTGAAACCATGATATTGTAAAATCCCTATCCATCACTATTAGAAATGCAATATTTTTGCTGCGTAGATATTTTAAATCTGACAAAACTGTGCAGTCTGATGTGGGATTTCACAAAAAAAACTTGTGTGTGTATATAGATACATACATACATATATATATATATATATATGCACATGGCTGGTTGAGTAAGAGGCAGAATTATCTTAGATTGTGCCTCTATGAATTGTTTTATGTATGGCATTAATATTTCAGATGATGAGAAGTTTCTGAAATAAACGGGTCAGTGAAATGACAGGAATTGGCAGCTGAGAACAGAAAATGTAATCAGCCCTAACATGTTGTAATGGAAAGTCAATTGAAGAAAAACCATTCTGCTCCTATTTCAGAATTGGCCACCACAGCACCAGCGACGACAGCTCGGCTTACCGCTCAGTGGACGAGGTCAACTACTGGGACAAGCAGGACCACCCCATCTCCAGGCTGAGACATTACATGACCACCCGTAGCTGGTGGAGTGAAGACGACGAGAAGAGCTGGAGGAAGCAGTCCCGTAAAATGGTGATGGAGGCGTTTGAGAAGGCTGAAAGGCGCTTGAAGCCCAATCTCGAACTGCTGTTTACTGATGTGTACCAGGAGATGACGCCCAACCTGGACAAGCAGAAACAATCCATGTGGAGGCACGTGCAGCAGTACAAGGAGCACTACCCACTTGAGCTGTATGATAAATAAATACCCTGACATGAATAGGTTCCTATGTGATGGTTAAACTTTGCAGTGGTTCAGTATTGAGACTGTTTCTGCTATTCTTAAAGCTGTAGTTTTGATATGACGTGTCATTTATTTCTGCAGATTGTACTTCATACCTCTGGGTTTGGTGCCTTCAGTTAGTAGATTTATCGTTTTCTATGAACACTAAATCATACTTTGGTTTCACATCACGGTTCTGCTGCAGTATGACTGCATTATGCATAAAACAACACAAATCAAGCAATAAATGGTGGAAGTTTAACTCTGTTCTCTCCTCCTGTAACTGTCTTCTCCTGTGTTCATGGTGTTTAAGAGGTTTCCTTTTGTGAAGCTGAGGTGACTGATTTTAAGAACCTAACGTGTTTTTAGCCCACACACAAATGTCTGATGGGTGTGTATACTGTTAAAGACAACACTACATCGCAGAACTATAAACCCTTCTATCTCCTGTTACATGTTTATGTTTTGTGGAAATTAAACTAAAGAACTGGTGTAACTTGTCTTGTTTTATTTTGTTTATTTAAACCTTGTGGTAGAGTGGAAATGAGCTGAATGACCCCTGGAAACATATTTGGACAAATAATCTGCCAGAAATGATAGATGCTTCTGAAGTATATTAAGTTTGAAAATGTTTTGACCTGTTTAAAATGTAACTTCAAACTGCTATGGAAAATATAGAAAAGCAGACATTAACAGCCAAGTGTTTTCTAAGTCCTTGGAAGATTTCAATGATACATTCCTCGTGCTGCATCTTCTTGAAACTAAAAGGGCAATGTTCTTTTGTTGCTGCGTCTTTTGCTCATTGGTCTAGTTTAGTGGTCGCCAACCTGTCGATCTCCGTAACTCTCTGAACTCTGGCTGCAGTTGCGCCGCAGATCAGCTCCGTTGTCTGTTTTTCACAGGCGCTGGGTGTTCACTACTGGCGGCAAAGCTGCTGGTTTATCTACTGCATTTCCTTCAATACAAATCGGCTTATGTACGAAACTAATTGTCAGGACTCTGTGGTATGAAGATGATAACAGTCAAAGCCCCATTAGAAGAAATGAATGGATTCAGAAATGCTGCTGAATTCTTTTATTTTGAAATGGGTTCCGGAAGTGTTTGTGACATAGACACATAAACATTGTGGTTCAGAGCAGAATAAACAGAGAAAATTATCTTTCACCTGAGTTTAAATTCTTATCTGATAATTTATACATATTTATACTTAATACATACACTTTTCTGTTGGCGTTTCTGTTGATCCATTCTTTTATTTAAAAAGCTGGCTTTAATGTAAAATATTAGCGGGAGCAGAAGATGCATGGCATCATACTGTACAGTACTGGTATTTATTTGACTACACAGGAATATTATACAAGGAAATAATCATATTTATAGCCATATTCAAATCCTATATAAAACCACTGTGCTGCAGTAGCATCTCCTCTGCAAAACATTGTTGAACTGAGAAGCTAAATATTGTGCATTGAACAGATGCTGTAAATATGAACTGACATTAATGTTAATATTGTGCAGTGCATAGTTTCACAACTGCATTTCTTTGTGTGTATTTATGCTTGTACATTCATTTTAAAAATAAATATGACCCTCCTAAGAGGGTTTCATGGAGGATATCAAGGTAGTAGATCTTGGCTTACATTTGGAATTAAAAAGTGATTTTGGGCTTGAAAAGGTTGGAGACCACTGGTCGTGTTCAACAAGTCAACAGGGGGCTGTGAATGCCCTTCCACAGCTTCTTAATCTGCACTGGCGAGCGCTGGTGGATCAGAATAATATCTTTATGGACACACAGATTCCCACGATCTTGCTCCCTGACATCAAATGTCCGAAAGCTTGCATGTGCCTCAGGAGAAACTCCCAGAGCCTTTGCGCACATCCCAGTGTAGACATCATCGATGGGGAAGAAGGGAATGACATGAGAAACTGAATATAGAGGTTGCAACAACACTCCAGAGATGATAAAACCGCCTCCACCAGCATAAGCAGGGTATGGGCCATCAAAGAAGCTCAGAGGAATGTAGTATTTGTTGTCTGTGTCTCTGTGGGGGTATGCTGTACTTATGGTGTGTCCAACATACAAATGAGATGCTTGAGAGGCCTGCAGAGACTGCAGGTAGCTAAGCAATGCTGGTGTGTTGACAAATACATCGTCATCCCCATTGAAGACGAAGGAGACACTAGGACATACTTTCAGTGTCCACTGGAGGAACATATTCCCTTTCAGTGTCAGGTTTAAGAAGGATTCTTGGAAATCCCACTGCAAGACATCCCCAAAATATTTTGCTTCAAATGAGAGCATTGGGCTGAGGTCAATGGCATCCAGCGGATAGGTACCCAGGAGGAACACCGTGCGGACCCTCAGGCCTCCCTGATACACCCTCTCTTTGCCCCAGGTCTCCCGCACCGCCTGTCTCTGCTCAAAGTTCCCAGGAGTTGACTTGATGGCGAACAACAGAAAGGTTTGGTTGTTTCCATCCTCTTCACTTGAGCTGCACTTGTTGGGTTGATTGATGAGGAGTGGAGAGGTCCTGCAGTTCATGCCCTGCAAAAAGTCCTGGAACAAGACAGGATAGGAGGTAAAGTCGTTCACATTGGTTAGCAGAAGCTCCCGATTCATCCCCCTGCAGTGAGACCAGTCATCTCTGAAAGCGAGTTTCCCCTGCTCCAGATTCCTAAGAGCCGAGTACAGCAGGCGGTTCCAGTATGCTCCATTTTGAGGTATGGTCTGTCTGAGGCCTTCAAACACAGATACATTGAGCACATCAACAGGGTGAGGCTGCATAAATCTTTTCTTCTCTGAGGATTGCATCGTCACATCACTGTCATGGACCTGGACGCTAAGAGGTTTTGGTTCATCCTTGTGGCTGTAGGTCGTCTCCAGGTAAAGGGTTGAGAAGAGGATCATAAACAAAGTGAGGAGGAGAACTACAGCACTGAAGGTTTGAATGCATCTCATTGCCTCAGACTAAACTGTGTGGTTTCTTGTATCGGATTGAATTTCGTAGATGGTCTTGGACTGTGTTGTTGTCTTCAGTTTACACAGACTTTGCCAGTCGGCGACATGCACTCTGTACCTGCCAACAGAAAATTACAGACAGGTCACCTTTGTGTAAATGAGCACATCACAAACTTGACATCCTTTAGCAAACTTGAAACCCAATAGAAAATATGATTAGCAATAAAGTACAGTTTACAATAATATGTACAGTGTAAATTGTGAGTTATACTGCCAGATATTCCTGGTGTTCTGTCAAATTGGGATTAAAGATCTGAACAAACAAATTATTCTGATAAAAATCCATATTAGATATATATTTTTAAGGTAGATAAATTGGCATAAAAAAGTTAATTATGTCGGCTGGGTATGATTGGTTAATTAAATAATCCAAAAAATTATATTCCTGGTATTCTTGGAAATGTATAGACAAATCAGGTGTTGAGGTGTTAAGGACAAGATCAAATCAGTCAATATCTGCCTTTCACAGTTATATATCAGTGTTTATCTTAGCTTATATGTGCTGATGTGAAAACCTTTATTTTCTAAAATAAACAATGCAGACAAGATGTGCATGAAAATCATTATGTTCAAAAAATGATTTTGTAAGTTCAAGTTCTATATATTTGGTTGCATTTGTGTTTTATATATTTATTTATTCAGTTATTAATAATGTTATCAATTACCTCAATTACATTTTTGTCCTTAGCATGGGATGTTTGTTATCTGGATGTTGTGGATGTCATGTTGCCTTGTAACAATGTTATTGTAGCCTGCTTTTGTTTCTGTCTAAAATGTGACTGACTCTAAATATTAATAATGAATATAAATTATATGGCTCACCCACTGAAAAATATTACATTTTTAAAAGTCTTAAAGTTGGGAAATGTTAATAACGTAACAACAATTGTGTTTGCATAACCATTGTTTGTGACAATGGTTAATTTAGTGTATAGAATGCAAATATGTCAATTCCCCAGAATAAAAACAATCTACTCTCAGTATTAATGTGTACAGTTAAATTAATCTGTTTCTCTGTTGCTTCATTTAAAGACAAAAATAAATGCGAACATGCAGCAGGTGAAGTGAGCTGCACTGGGAACACACCCTACTCTCTGGTGTCTCATTTGAGGCAAACAGGCTTAGTACATATAGTCCTGAGGGACCTCACTGCTGTAAAAATAGAGGAAGGCACCTGAGGTCTGTGGAATGATGAAATGCACGAGTCCCTTATGTTACACCTTTTCATGCAAGTTATTTAAAAGAGTAAAACGGTTTGAGGGATTAACACAATTATCAAGTAAAGTAGGAAATTTGGCAAAGACTCCTCTGAAGTAGGTGAATCCTTTGACCTGCAGGCGAAAAAATTCAATCAAAATAGTCGGAAAGACAATTTATCATTCAAGTTTCATAAAATACTTACTAAACCCAAGGTAAACAAGCTGAAGCATCAGAAGAATAAATGAGTATCCAGGAGTCTGCAGGTTCACAAAGCATCTGTACTCGTGCCCGTGTTTCCTCTAATGCAACTGAAGCAGCGATGTGAGAACATGCAGGTAGATGAGATCAGCTGATCACTTTACACACGCCCAGTAGGATGCTGTACTGAGACAGGTTTATTAAATTGTATTGACAGGAAAGTCACTGACAAATTATTTAAGACCAAACTGTCTATTGAAATAATCATCACAAGGATACATGAACACAGTTTTCAGATCAGTAAAGCTCCTTTTTTCTTTACTGTATTGCATCTCGGTGCAGGCTTTTAAAAAATATTTTTACAGCCTGGTTAGTTAAGACAGAAAACAAACACTAATCAGACAATTACAAAAAAAACTTGAAATATCTCCCATACAGTGGTAAAAGGTCTTTAGTTTTCTCATTAAGACCAAACCATGCAAATGTTTACAAAGGTTTATTTTCATCTTCTTTTGTTGAATAAAAGTACTTTAAATGGAAGTGACAAAAACAATTAATCGATAACACTTAATAAAAGCATTATTATTAATATTATTAATTTTTCATCAAATGTAGCTGTTCGCGTCCTGAGAACTTTGCGGTATAAGGCAGAGGGGGTATTTGCGATGGAATTACTTCAGGAGCTTCTGGCCTCTCTGCTGGGAGAGGTGCCCTGCAGCTGAGATGAAGTGCAGTTTCAATTAGAGATGCCCTGATATGACCTACTTTTCACTTGAGCACTCAAAAGTACCAAAAACCAATGTGACCGCTTCCATCCATACTGGCATTTTGGTCAGTTTCCTTTGATTCTAAAGCACATTCTGGAAAATATATCTCGCAAGTGTTAATAAGTTGGCATCCTCTTGTCCATCTTTTTAATTATGAAAACAAAACAAAAACTCTTATTATGTAAATGTGCTGGTATGAGTATTTGGTATTGCAGCCCAATTATGAAACTTTTTAAATAAAACTGGGCCAATACATGTATCATAACGATAAACAACTAACATACTATGTGCTGTGTGCACTCAGGAAAATAGTGTTCATAACTAGAAAGACCAAACATTTTGGAGCATCGAGTTGAGCAGTTTAAAAAGGCAAGAAAGAATACTGCAGATGGTAGGAAGGAAAACAGTATTTGTGAAGAAATATAAGGTCTAATGGTCAAGATTTTTTAAAGATATGCTGCTAGAATGGAAGTGACAGGCTCAAGGCAAAACGAAGGATGCAAGTTGGTTGTAAAGAACTCGAAGAGAAGCACGGTGGGAAGTCAGCGAAGGTCGCTCTCGTCATCCTGTATGGTTTTCTTTATGCGGAGAAGCATGGTGGTGAGCCACTGGTCCAACCGTGAAATGGTGTCGTATTCCTTCACCTGAGACACGGAAAGTTAATATCATCAGTTTGATTTCAAAGGTTAGAAAACACCTCAATAAAAAGAAATATACATTAGGATACATGGAGAGGTTTTGATTACACCACAGAAAAGGAATATTCTAACTCTAAAATCAAGTCTTTTTTTGCACTAATACTAAGGTGGACTGTCAGTTTGACTGTCCTACTGTACAAATTTGCATCATAACACTGTTACACTTTAATATGTTTATCTATATAGCTGTGTTGTATGTTGAACATTGACAATAAAGGATTCCGATTCTAACTGACTCTGATTTTTTACAAAAATCAATTGCATCTATGAAGACTTCAGTCACCAATTCATTACTTCTGCTGGCATCATAACACTCAACTAATGTTTAGCAAAAGCATACAGACCCCGAAACACTCAACAAAACCAGGATTTTAAAACTAATTGCTACAGAAACTTTAGGCAAGCTCAATCATAAACCTTGACTACATGTCTATCTTCTGCTGAAAGACAGCTGTCTACTCACCGAATCAGTATAGGCATCCACATTCTGTTCTTCATAGGCATCTAGAAGTTTCTGGTGAGATAAAAACATTTCTATATTTTATGCTGTACATCAGAGATCATAAAAAAAACTATATCCTGACGGCTTAATAATACCTGGCAGTGAAATAAGTTTAAGGTGATCAGATTGCAATCAGATAAGAGCTTGACTACATGAAAGCACAGGTGTAAATGCACACAAGATGCATTGAGAACAGAGTGAGATCTGCTCTACCTAAACAACCCCAGTAGATGTGCAGGGACACAAAGTGAACACAGTGAACTCAGGTTGGAATGTAACTATGCTGTAAATCCACATTCAACAACAACTTGTGTTACAATGTCCCTCGGTTTTAATCAGGGACATGTAGTTGTTTGCAAGTTCAAGCAGCTGTTATCAACAGTTTTTATTGAAAACAACAGCAGAAACCAGACAGCAGCAGGGAGCCAGCCTGAAGGTTTATCTCAGCAGACGGTTTCATTGAACTCTCCATCTTTTCTATACCTGGAGAGTTAGTCTGGAGGATTTTAGATTTTAAATACCCACTTTCAACAGTTTGTATTCTCTGGAGTCTGAAAAGGCTGGAAACATTTCTTCATACTTCTGCACAGCAAGCTGAAAAAACAAAAGAATGAGTATTACAGCAGAGGTGTGTGCTACAGTTGCTCTGCATGTGCCATTATGTGCTACAACTTACTTTTGCATTCAGCATGTCTACACAGAAGTGACAGAGCGCTGCCTTGAAGAAGTGATCCTTGGCACTATATTTCAAGAGCGTACTGTCCATTGCGTGGGTTCCAACCTAAAATCACCAATTAAAGTTCAGGTTGGTTTTGTTATTACAGCCCCTGGTGCCATTGATGTCATGGTAAAACAAAGATGTCACCTGTTCATAGATCTCAATAGCTTTTGGGTACTGCTCCAGCTGAGCTGCGTAGGTTGCTACCTTTAGAAGGCACTTGTTTGCTGAACTACAAAAGATAAACAAGACACTTCTCAGTACAAACACATTCATTGGAAGTGATGCAATGACACAATTATACAAAAAAAAAAAAAAAAGATTTATTAAGACAACAAATAAATGAGAAATATAAAACCTTACACCCAAAAAAAACGAATAGAAGAAATGTTACTCATTCAAAGTATTCACCTGGTGGATTCTTCCCCTTTGTAATAATCTGCTGCCTGTTCATAATGAGCAATCGCCTGGAATGGAAATTGGACATAAGTAGTAAATATAGCTTTACCGTGATTTTATATGGAAGTCTAAAACAGAGGCAAGAATATGTTCTAGATTTAATATGTAAAATAATTATAAACAGATACTTCGTCTGACCTTGTCAATGTCCACCAGCTCTGTCTCATAAATTTCAGCAATGGAGATGTGATGTTTGGCTGCGATGGTAAAGCGGCCCTAGACACAAAAATAAAGATGTTATATGTTACATTAGTAAATACGATGCTAAACATAAAAGGTCATTTTCAAATTCAATATTTTAAGACATCAAGAAAAAACCACTTGTTACAAGCCTCACCATATCTGTGTATATCTCAATAGCTCGATTTAGGCAGTTTATGGCCTCTGTTGAGAAAAATAACATTATTAACACAAGATATATTATGGTTTTTATTCAGTGAATTAAGTCAATGAGACAACTAAATGCCAAAATTAAGTTAAATTACAAGATAAACAAAATTAGAAGCAACTAGTTGTGGAGGTTCAAGATTCGAGATGAGTAACAATGTTCCTAAATGGTGGTGACCACTGGTCTTGATGTCATTATTTATTTTATACTTAATTTGTCCACATCCTCATTTGATAACTGCAGAGTCGTAATTGATTCCTTTTAATGCTCTTCTATTATCTGACATTACTTGTATGTGCATGGTTGAATGGAATTGGTAAAGCAGCTTGTAAAAAAAAAGAGCATTTCACGTGAACTTCAACATATCTTGAGGGTGGTGATGAGTAATGATTACCTTGCGGATCTGCTTTTTTGAAGGCATTTCCAGCGTCAATGAAGTTGGTCGCTGCGTCGTGTTTGCTCTGCATCTGCAGGTGAAGACGAGCAGCTTGGGAGAACGCATTTCCTGCAGCTGAGGAGAAAATGTTGCATTTTAGAAGCTGGAACGTCTTTCACAGACATAAAGAGAGAACAGGACAATCATTATGCATGCCCATTCAGACTGTAATACTCATCTTACCACACCAATTTTTGGCCATTTTGTACATGTTGGCTGCCCTCACATACATGTCACAGGCCTCTTCAAGCTTGGAGGAACCCCTATGAGAAAGCACACGTGTTTAATTTAAGCTTCATTTAATTTATTTATTCACATTGAAACTATTTTGGGGTGATACAGACATTAAGTGCCATACTGATAACTAGGTATCAATAATGCGAGTGTATTCATTGTTATGATTTCAAAGGAGTGGACAGTAATAATAATAATAACAATAAGAAGTAGTAGGAGTAGAAGAAGAAATGTCGACGGTTTCTTCCATTCGTAGCTGCACATGTGAATGGGGGCGGGCGTAATGTAAACAAATGTGATAAACATGTGACGTGGGGTAACCTTGCAAAACCTGCCCAGGTGGTGGCGCTAGACCTGCGACATTTCAGGCAAACATTCAGAAGAAAAACGTTGCACAATGTCTCCTTCATGTCAGGCACAAATACATTAGCTTCAGCAGACAGCATTAGCTGGTTCTTCTCAGGTGCAGAGACTGACTGCTACCTTCCACACGTGTGATCCAACAGAAGATAAAACTACGTGTTTAGCTCAATACACTCGTGTGATTCTGGCGACAGATAAAGATCCGATGCCGCAGCGAAGTTTATCACTTTGGTTTTTACCATCTTCCGCTTCGTTGGCCCTTGACTTGACAGAAGTAGCTCAACGTTAGCAGCAAACGAACTCACCCGAACATCGCTCCGAAAAACGACTGCGACGACTTCATTTTCTTCTCCGCCTCCGCCATTAAAGCCATCGCCTCCTTCTCTTTCCCACTGTTGTCCATTTTCGCCTCGCTCTTTGTGTTGTTTTCTTCGAGGAGACACAGGGAAACAGTCAACAAACGTGCTAACCAGTGCTAATGGCTGCGGGTGGTTCGTCACAGCCTCATCTCTGTCACGTGACACGGGAGGGCTACTGCTGCGTTCAGGTGCTCTGCGTAATAAGAGCCACTGTCCGAGCTACAGTTGTTGTTGTAAAATTGAGAGCTGACTAAATTCAGGAACCAACAGCCAAATGTTAACCACACTATAACACAAATTACAACGACACCAAACACCGTTCAGTTTAATGTATCGTATAAAAAACCCCGATCTAAATTATATCATGCTGCATCTCTTCCTCAATCTGTAAATTATAAATCTCTGACAACACTTAAAGGCATCTTATTGTAAACATAATAACCATTCTGATTTATAAAGTAATTCCGATTATCATATGCTCATTCACTTCACAAATATCCCAAATAATGTCTAGTGTATATGATATACATATGAGATTTATTTTGCACTTCTATTTTATTCACATTTTTGTTCGCAAATACAAAAGAACTGATAGAAATATCCCGTCTATACAACACAAATACGTTACGCCCGAGGTTGCAGACAAAATAGTTAGGTACAGTTAAGTAAAATTAGTAGTTACTTGCTTGGAGTACACGACAGTAATGAGCGCTCTATAACGTTGCTTCATTTCTCTACCTACAGGGTTTATATCTATTCTTTTTCTAATCGAAATAAAACAATGCTTAAAACTAAATGTATCTTATAACTCTTATATGTGACATCATTATTATTGTTGTTATTGTTGTCATTATTTAATTATAAATTAATGTATATGATTATCATTAATCTCATTATTGTTATTGTTATATAATTTGTTTTTGTTATTATTAACATTAGTATTACTGTACTGTATTACTATTCTTTCTGTTATTATCATTATTGTTGTTATAATTATCATTAGTATTATTGTTGTTATTATTATTAGTATAATTATTATGAACGTCATTATTGTTGTTATCATTATTTTTTGTTATAATTAACATTATTATTGTGTTGTTTTTCTCATTGTTATAATTATTATCAATATTGGCAGATTTTCAACTTTTACTCAATGTGTGTTTGTCGATGAGAGGGGGGAAAAACACAGAAGGCCCACAGATTTCAATCAGGCAAAGCGGAAGTCTGCTGTTTCCTGCCTGTAGTTGGGTCCTGCACAGCAGCCCGTGCGAGGTTGTCCTGGAGACCCCGCGCTGCCTGCTCTTCTATCGTCTCGGGTGAGTTTGTTATAAAACAGCATTTTTCTCTATTATTCCCAAAAACTCCGACAAACGTGCGACATTCCCGCACAGGCGACCACCCGCAAACTGCACCGCAGGCGCAATCGGGGCGCCCCGCCGCTGCACGACCCGGCAAACATGCTCATTTTCCACCGAATTCCCAAGCATACCCCCCTCATCCAAGAGTATTCCAACATTAACTCATATTTTGCTTGCAGGGAGAGTCACATAGCTCGCTACGCCACTGCGTCCGCGCTCCTCGGCAGACGACGCTGCTCTTTCTGGGTCGAATCGAGGCTCCAATGTGCGAAGCGGGTGTTTGGAATGTGTCCGTCGGTGGTTTGTTTTGAATGTCAAAAGGCTCGAGCTAGCTGTGCGTCTGAATATTGTTGATAGCCGCTCGGCTTAGCAGGCTAGCTGGCTAGGCTAACCACATCCAGCCCAGATGCATCAAAATGCTGAAAATAGAGGTAAAAGTAGCTTCTGGAATCTAACGTCAGAGTAAAGTAATGTCTTCTGTCGGTTACGTGGCGGTAAGATAACGTGTATTTAAACGAATCGGCCAAATATGCATGGAAAGCGCTTTGAAAACACCAGCTAGCATGTAGCTTGCCGCTTGCAGCGTCTCCATTCATATCCTGCGCACTGGCTCTGCTCGGACCGAGTAATGGCTACGACCCGCTGTCTCTTTAGAGCCGCAGACCGGGGAGACGTCCCCAGCAGAACCTCGGTAACATGCTTCCTTCGGTTATTCGGCGACTTGTTGTGACCGCGTTGCTGGAAGTTTTTGTGCACGATTGCAGAGACTTGAGCTAAATTCAGCGGCGGTCACATCCCAGGCGGTGTGAAAACCGCGCGTTTTCAGTTGTTTCTCGGTGCGAAGCAAACACTTCTGCTGCTGCTGGATTGTTTTTGTTGTTTTCTGACATTTTTATGTGTAAAATCACGACATGTTGCAACTGGCGATGGAGATCTGCTCTCGTGTTGAGATGTAAAATGTAAACTCGCAAATTAGTCTCCTTGTTAAAGTCCAATCTTTCTTAGTTGCTTCTGTGCTTTGCTTAATTGTCACAAAACAATTCTTACAAACGTCTGCCAGCAATATGTGATGTCATGTTATGAGTCATTACTCCAAATTTGAATTGATTGTGAAACTAAAACAGAGCCATTTCAACTATTAAAAGAACTTACGGTTTTTATTTATGGCCTGGTCTAATTTGTAAAGACAGTATTTATGTAAAGTCATTTTTCAGATTAGTTTTTGTGCTTTACAAGTTCTGTTTTACAACGGAAAACCTTTTTCTTGTTATGAAAATGTATAAGAATATTGTATCAAACGTTTGAAAGCATCCACCAATCACATGATTTATAATAATGAATAACATTATGACGTGATTCAGTGTCACACAGGTTGATGAGCATTTAAAAAATGCTCAAATTGTTTTTGTTACTTATCCTCAGATGTTGCTCATCCTGTCAAAGTATAAAATATGGAGCTAAAATATCACACTGATAATATAATAGACACATAATGGTGTACACAGGGTTTTAACATTATAAGTTTTGCCAACAAGTCAATTTTTTGTTTGTGTTGTTTTTATTTTCATTTATCGTGAAATAAATCCTCACCAAACTTTAAATCCTTGTTCATCTTTTCATCAGTTGTCATGGATGATGAAGACGGCAGGTGCCTTCTAGATGTAATTTGGTAAGTCACTGTTGAAAAAGTGCTCAGGTAGTTTGACCACGTAACGAACTGTACAGTCATCTTTTCTTGTCATGTTGAGAATTTTCACAATTTTTTCTCCTGCAGTGACCCAGAAGCTCTCAATGACTTTCTTCATGGATCTGAGACCCATGTGAGTACGAGAGCATTTCTTTCTTAAAGAAATCACACCTTGTGATTTCTCTTTTCAGAAAATAGATTTTTAATTGATGCAATGAGGAGTTTTGGGTGACTCCATACTTAGGTTACGTTCAAATTACGCCTCAGTGAACCCTGAAACCCACACCCCTCACTTCTTTCATTTACGTTTTTCCTTTTAACTGCTTTCTCTGCTTAATTATTGTCTTTGCTTTTGATTGCACTGTTTATGGTTTCAGCTTGCCTTCCCCTTTATTAGGTCAAATCAGAATATGAGAAATGCTAATACTAACGCTTCCCAACTGTGTATTATTCCTTTTATTTTGCCCCTGCCCTCCCTTCGTCGCCTATCTTTTCGCTATTTCTTAATGGTCTGGGTTCTCTGGACTGTGCACTGTCCTTTCCTTGCCCTCCTCCTCTGTTTGATTGTCTGTATATTTCTCTGTCCTTGTGGCTTTTGCTTGCTGGTTTGGGTGCCTTTGGTTTCTGTCTGTCCTTTCATGGGTGGGTGTGTCTGTAGTTGGACACTGACGACCTTTTGGATGGTTCGAGTGATCCCTCCAGCTCGTTCTTCTCTACCACTGGGGTGAGTAACATCCCCCAATCCTCCCCCCTCTGTTTTCTATCCATCTATGTAGCATGCAACTCCAAATACCCTCCCTTTCCACTAACATACCTACAGTCTACAAGCTTTGATTTTGCTGCGATTTGACAAGAGGTTTTTGTGGGATTTTCATGTCTGCATTTTTGTGTTTAATTCTGTTCTGCTCCTCTGCACACATCTGTATCTAGCCATCAATATTCTTCCATCACCTGGTTTCACTTCTTTCCTGTGTCTTCTCCTCCTTTCCTTTAAGGGCCATGTTCCAGAGGTCCAGCCTGCTGTCCAGCTGTCGGCCAGTGAGCCAGCAGGCCTGCCCAGAGTCAGTGTTGACCTTGACTTCCTGGAGGATGAAGACATCTTGGGAGGGTCCCCAGGTGGCGAGGGTGGGAGCAACGGCATTGGGGCGAATCACGAGCCATGTGACATCCTGCAACAGAGCTTGGCTGAAGCCAACATCACAGAGCAAAGCCTACAGGAGGCAGAGGCTGAGCTGGACCTGGACTCCTTTGGAATTCCAGGCCTTACACAGGTGGTTCAGACACTGCCTGATGCCAGCCTCTCTGGGGCTGGAGGCACTGCTGTTGGTGTAGGCATAGGTGTTGGCGTTGGGGGAGCAGCGACAATTTTCCCTGGGTCAGCCCCAAGCACCACTGCTACGCCCCCCAATGCCACAGCTGACATGCTGGGGTCAGTGCTTGCTCAGCAGGGCCTTCAGCTTCAATCCCAGGTCATGAACAAGGCCATTAGCGTTCAGCCATTTATGCAGCCTGTGGGCCTGGGAAATGTGACGCTTCAACCCATTTCAAGTCTCCAAGGTCTTCCCAATGGGAGTCAGTCTGGACATTTGGGTATTGGACAGATTCAGGTTGTGGGTCAGCCCACAGTCATGACTATCAATCAGTCTGGGCAACCAATCTTGGCTAAAGCCATGGGAGGTTACCAGCTGCAACAGCCTGGGCCAGATGTATCAGGTGCTGGTTCTCAGGCGGGGCTTGGAGGCTCCGGAGGTGGACTACTGATCCAAGGTAATAAAGCCACTTTGGGATCTCCGGCTTTAAATGGACCAGCTGTTTGTGTCAGCAGCACAAACAGCATCAGTGGTAGTACAATGACTGCTCCTGCTGGGCTTGTGGGCTTTGGCAGCAACCCTCTGAGTTCAGGAATTGGACCTCAGACGCAGACTCAAGGCCAAATCATGCAGAACGTGATCATCCAACGCACACCAACACCCATTCAGCCTAAACCCCCCCATGGGGGAGCCATCCAACCGAAACTGTTTAAACAGCAGCAGTCACAGCCAACACCCCAACCCCTGCAAAACGATGCCCACAAGGCTTTAGGGCTGCAGCAACTTCCAGTTTCTGCTTCTCAGAATGTAGCCTTCCTGACAGGAAAGCCAGGCTCGAACGTTGTCCTAAGTACTCAAGCCACAACACACGGCACCCAGTTTCAACAAACTCTGTTCAAGCAACAAGCAGCACAACAATCTGGCAAGCCCCTCAGTGTACACTTGTTAAACCAATCAGGCAGCATCGTTCTTCCCCATCAAACAGTCCTACAAGGTCAGAACCACCAGTTTCTCCTGCCACAGCTACAGGCAGGTGGGCAGATCCTGACCCAGCACCCTGGGGGCCACATCATAACTAGCCAGGGTCCTGGTGGGCAGCTCATTGCTAACCAGATATTAACAAACCAGAACATCAACCTTGGTCAGGTGTTGACTTCACAGGGCCACCCTGGGGCTGCCCATATCCTCTCTGGACCCATTCAGCTCCAGCCTGGCCAGATGGGCACACCCACCCTCTTTCAGATGCCTGTCTCATTGGCTCAGACTCAAAGCCAGACACAGACCCATACAGTCTCAGGTCATGCCCAAACAGTCATACAGGGCATGCCCATCCAGAATTCCCTGACCATGCTGAGTCAAGTGGAGAGTCTGAGTCCGGCAGTCACCCTTCAGCCTGCCCTGCAACCTCAGCCAGGCGGAGTCCCTAACAGCAGTAGCACAGGAGCAGCAACCATGGGTCAAGGCCAATCTGGAGAGTGTGTTACTGTTCTGGGCAGCTCCACAGACCAGGCTGCTCATCCCACCCAACAGCATGTGCCGCAGTCCTCTATTCTCACCATGCAACCCGGTTCTTCTGTGTCCGTGGCTATCACAGTACCCTCCTCTTCTCCATCCATGTCTGTGTCCACATCTTCCCCTGTCACAGCAGTGGGGCTGGTCCCCCATCAGTCTCAGCACAGTCCAGGAAGGTTACTGCTCACCAACCAGGGCTCCAGCATGATCTTGAGCCAGGAGTCTCTGCAGATGTTCCTGCAACAGGTCAGTCCTCCACTCCTTTTTGCGTTTGCTACAGTTGTGTAGAGTTAACATTGTTTTATAAAAGATTAATAACATGCACGGAGTGATATCTTGGTCTGACCTCTCTGGTTTACTATTTTACTCCCTCCAACCCTCTTCCTTCTTCCCTCCTTCATCCTGAAATGGTAAACGTACTCCTATCAGGAGCAGCACCACCAAACAGAGAATGAGTCAACCCCCTCTGTGGGCGTACCAGCGTCCGTAATCGTCAGCAGCAACAGCATCACTGCTCTGGCCCCCGCTGTCAATGACAGCCAGTTAACTGACTCTTGGGGGGGTCAGAGCCACAGTCCTTCCCCTGGCCCCTCCCACATGACAGCAGTGGTAAAGCAGGTAGAAGTGCCCCTTTATGTTAAGTCCCACCCCACCTGTTGCCGCTGCTGCTACCACAACGTTAGGGTATCTTACCTTTAGCCATCACTGCTCTGTACTTGTCTTATGCATTAATTGTTGCTTCCATGGCTCTCGCTTTTGCTGCAGATCCTAAATGCAAAAATTACTAATTTGCTTGCAGCTTCTGTTTGTTTCTAACATTGCTTCATTATATGTGTAAAAAGCATGACCACCATTCAGTGATTTTCATACATATTCATATCCTGTTCCAATTTTACATTTAACTTTATCAACCTCTATGGATTTTGGAACTGAACTAAAGTTAGTTGTTTAACTTATTTGTTTTGTCTATCATTCATTCTATGCATTTTGTTCAGAAACCATGCTCATGCTTAATAACAGAGCTAGCAAGGTGTCAAGTGCACCTTGTTAACCTTTGTACTAACAATGGTTTAATCCACTCACCTTGCTCAATCAAATTTTATCAACTCAATTCCATCTACTGCATCACTGACCAATGACTGATAAATCAATCCATACCTCTCAACCCTGCACTTACCATTAGACTGTTGTGTCCTCAAAGTTCTACTATTCCTTGTAACCCCTAGTCTGACCAGTGTAATGACCCCCAAACCACGATTACATGCTACCCTGACCCCCCTTCCCTGAAGCCTCCAGATCACTTTCTACTTATCCATCACAAGCCCCGCAAATCTTGACTTCTTGCTTATGTCGACTTTTTTCTTTTTGCCTCGCCAAATGATCATTGCTCTCTTTTTTATGTGTAATCCTCCTCAAACACTAGAGAAGAAATCATTGGGTTTCTACTCCTTTAGCTTAAGCAGCTAATTGATTTTAAAGTCTAACACTTTGCTTTTGTATTGTTATTTGTGTTGTTTTACCCAAGTTGTGTTGTTTTGTATTGGGGTTGGGTGATAATTCTAAATTTCAGTTTATTGAATTTCAGTCAATACAGCTAACTGAAAACTATTATGTGATGAAAATATGTTAAAACCAGAATGAAGGTTGTTGTTACATGTGTGAAGACTTCTAATCTAATGCAGTGCCAAACAGTGGAATACTATCATTGCATTAAATATCACTTGTGTATTTTACATACAGCCAAAGACATATTCGGCCTATTACTGTAATTTTTTAGTTGAAAAGCCTGTTGTAATTGAGATTGTGATATAGCCATATCACCCAGCCCCATTTTGTACCTTGCTAATCTAGAGACAAGCACTAGAATCACATTTACTTTAAACTGTGTGCATGTAGAACCTTTTGTGTGTTTAATTTTTGTGCTTAATGTCCCAAAATTTCCTCCTGTGTTTACAAATTGTTTACGTTCTTGACCCAGATACACATATCAATATATTGTGATTCCACTTCTTCAGGTACCCTCCAGTGGACATCAGCAGCCCCTGAAGATCCAGAGCATGTCCCCCTCAACAGCCATGACCACTCACAACACAGTGGCAGACAGCCCTCAGCCCTCCCAGTCTCCCCTCACTCTGAGCCAGCAGATCCAGTCACCTCTTCATCAGCAGCAGCAGTCACGTCCTCCCTCTCAGCCTCAGCCACAGTCTCAAACTCCCTCCCGCTCCTGCACACCCTCGTCTCACCCTCCACTCTTTATAGTCCACAACCAGATTACAGAATCTCCCCAACCTGTTTCGCAAGGCCAGCTGCAGCAGACACAGCTTCAGCAGGCACACATTCAAGTTCATCTTCAGGCTCAGCCGCGGCCAGCCTCTCAGCCTGCCCCCTATCAACAAGATATGCCTCCTATGTCACAGTCACCCAAGCCTCCTTCTGCACCAACTGCACAGCACCAGTTCACTGCAGCTCCTGTCAGCACTTCTGCCGCTGCTGTCCTGAAAGCCCAGGTTCCCATCCCTGGTCTGACAGCAGAGCAGCAGCACCACCTGCAACTAGTAGGAGCGCAAATTCAGACCCTGTCAGGCATTGCCCAGCCGTCACCTCAGCAGAAACAGTTGCTGGATAAGCTGCACCAGGTAAAATCCCTTTAATGATCACTTGTTAAGGAATTTACATGAAATTAGAGGTTTCACCATTAAAGCCATCTTGTGTATTCTGGCTTCACAGTTGAGTAATCTCTGCCAACTGCCAGTAACTGTTTGTCTATTATATAATGTACTTATTGTTATAGAGCCTCATTTGTGTGATACATTAATGTAGTTAAAATCTGGGGAAAATCTCATGGTTTGGTGGTCAGAGTAAATTAATATACATATACTTTTGCATCCTTTCAAATTATTGTAGAAAGTCACCTGGAGATAAGATATGCAATCTATCAGTGCAAATCAGATTTTGTGTAAGTTCCTGGAAACCACATTGGTTCAATCAGCAGTTTCTTATTTAAAATTTAAAGCGTGTCCTGATGTGTTTCCAGGTCCAGCAGAACATCCTGTTGCAGGCCGCGCAGCCCCCTCAGTCTCAAGTCACAAGTCAGTTCACTTCCCAGGAAGATGTGCCTGTCGATAAAGTTGTGATTACATCAACAACCAGCACTGGTACACCTGCTCAACTTCCCTCTGTGCTGCAGCCGACACCAGTGCTTGTCAAAACTCCTGCTACAGGTTGGACGCAGTTTAATGTTGATGTAAAACTGAAGGATCCTGAACACACTTTAAGATATTTCTGTTTGTAACAATGTTTCTTCTTATTTTAGCATCAAGTGACTTACAGGTATTCTCAGGAGCCCAAGGGCCAGCTGGAGCAATGGTGAATCAGACTGTCACTCCTGCAAGCCTTACCCAGCCTGCACAGGTAGGTAACACTACAAAGCAAGTTCTTCCAAGAACTTAACTGTGGTCCTTATCATATATTTGTTACGTTTTATATTTTCCTGTCACTGAATTTCAAAATGATATTTTTCTCCACAGGTTCAGCCAAAGCCAGGAGTGATCAGCTCAGTTGGAGGGATGACCCTGGGGAAAGGTGGGATGCAGATACAGGTGTTAGGAGCTAGTCTGACTCAAATGCCTGCTCCACAGCCCCCAGCTCCCGCACAACCTCAGGTTAATATGAGTCCTAAGAAAGGGCCTCTGTTTGAGTTCAGTCTGAAGTTCCTGGTTTTCATCTATTTTCTTTATATTACAGACAACAATGAAGATGCCTTTCAGCGCAGAGCCCAGTAAAGAAGCCAGGTTTGTACCGCAGGCATTTAAAATGTTATTTTAACTCTCAAAATGTCATTTTTGTTGAACAATATTTCTTTATATGCACGTCACTGCAGGATGCTAGAACAGCTGAGGAAACAGCAGGGTTCAGTGCTTCACCCAAACTACAGTGCTCCTTTCTACTCTTTTGAGGACACACTGCACAGACTGCTGCCTTACCATCTCTACCAGGGAACTGCCAACTCCTCTCAAGACTATCAAAGAGGTAACAAGCCCCACAGCCTCTAGTGCTGGCAAAATACAGTTAAGTGCCCTAATTCAAGACCTTTATGAACCTTTTGGTTCTCTTGTGCACAGTGGATGATGAATTTGAGAAAGTCTCCTGTCAGCTGCTGAAAAGGACCCAGGCCATGCTGGATAAATATCGCCACCTACTCTTTGCGGAGTCAAAAGTAAGTATATGAACCAGCATTTCCAACACAGGTTCTCTGTCTCTTTTTTCCTGAATTGATTTTGAACTGATGGTTTTTGGCGTTTAAACCTGAGCAGAGACTGGGCCCCTCGGCAGAGATGGTGATGATCGACCGGATGTTCATTCAGGAGGAGAAGGTCGCGTTGAGTCAGGACAGGATTCTGGCTAAGGAGAGACCAGGTACTTTACCACTGTTTGTACATACATGATTGTCTTCATCTAAACTGTACACTGATGGTATGTGTATGCTAATGATATAATTGTTTTTATGTCATTGCAGAGGAGTTTGTAGCAAATGCTCGCATGTTGGAGAGTGTAGTTTCATCCCAAGAGAAATCTACTGCTGCTGAGCGCACGTCAGTGAGTGGAGGTGCAACTGCTGCTGCTGCCCCTCCTCCAGCACCTCCTGTTCCTGCTCCAGTCCCTCTTCTAAACATCACCCCAAACCCTCCTCCTGCACCCACCCTAGCTCCAGCTCCAGCTCCTGCCCCTCCTCCTCCTCCTCCTCCTCCTCCTGCTCCTGCTCCTACCACTACTTCTGTCACCCCTTTCCCTCCTACCAAACTAGTAATAAAGCAGGGTGGAGGCGGAGCCTCTGTGTCCTGGTCCAGCAGCTGTCAACCACCTCTGGCTGCACCGAGTAAGCTGGTGGCTGAACCCACCAGCCAGAGCTCCTCCTTCAGTCGTGCGCCGGCAGCGTCCTTCTCGTCGTCATCCTTCAACTCTCGAGCAGCCGACGATGACGACGCTCTTCCACAGAGAACCAGCAAACCGCCTATGAAGACCTACGAGGCACGCAGGAGGATTGGCTTGAAACTGAAGATCAAGCAGGATCAAACGGGGTTCAGCAAGGTGGTCCATAACACTGCCTTAGACCCAGTGCACGCACCTCAGCAGAGCAGCCAGTCCATATCCCAGTCTCAGCCTCAGTCTGCAGCTGCTGTACCACATCCAAAGTCCCACCCTTTATCTACTCCCTCTACAACAGTCATCAGAACTCAGTCCCCTGTATGCACTGCCTCTTCTGAATCATCAGTCACCATAGCAACCACTCAATGTAACCCGACACTGAGAGGTAATTTTCCTCCCAATGCAGCCCCATCTTCCTCTACCTCTTTCTCTCGTACTTCATCATCCTCCTCCACTCAAATGAATGGGACATTAGATCATCACGACATTGGTGGGGTCAAACACAATCCTGCCTCCACTGCCAGTCCCTCGCCAACAACCTGCCGCCTCCCCCTTCGAAAAACCTATCGGGAAAACATTAGTCCCCGTGTGAGACCTGGTGTCCCAGGGGGAGGAGATGAAAGTTTGTCCTACCCCAGACCCACGCCATCACCCCCCAGGCACGAGGCCTCATCCCCTCCCTCAGAGCGGACAGTGATAGCCAGTGTGAAGGTGGAGAAAAGAGGCAGGGAGGCCTCGCACACTCACATAGAGTCAAGCCTCGAAAGGGGCCGTTTAGGGAGTGCAATGCAGGGGCTTAATGAAGTGGATGAGGTGTTTAACCGTGGTATGAAAACCACACAGCACCATCATCTTCCACAGCTCCTAGACAAGGAAGGGGCAAAGGAGAGAGCAGAGGAGCACGCAGACCAAGAGACAGATGTAAGTAAATACAAGAGGGTGGGTGGGAAAAATAGACATAGGGTTGGTGGGACATTCAGAATGGACCAGCATGCCCCTGGGCCACCCTCTCCAGAGTCCTTCACACGAGACTCTTTACTTCCTGCCAAACGTTGCAAATCAGACTCCCCTGACATGGATAACGCCAGCTTCTCCAGTGGCAGCCCCCCGGATGACTCTCTGAACGAGCACCTGCAGTGCGCCATCGACAGCATCCTGAACTTGCAGCAGGAGCCCTCTGCCCGTGGGCGCCACATTAAAGGTAACAGCAGGCACCACCAACACCAAAGCCAGCGCCCAGGGAGCTCGGCAGCTTCGTCCCACAGACCCTCAGTCCAGCCCCCCTCCTCTGCTTCTTCGTCCCCCTCCTTGGCCCAGCACCCTCAGGTCGGTGGCCGTGGCCACAACGGCAACCTGGTGCCCCAGACTCAAAGTAGATAACAGCCCTTCAGCCCCAGGCCAGACTGATAAGTGGGAACTAAGAGACAGATTTTTGGAGGCAGATGAAGGGGGTCACTGTGAAAACAGTATCACTGTACTACTCTGCCAAGCTGTGTTGGTTTTGTTTGTCCATTTGAATTGTCCAGACATTTCTCTGTCACTTACAGCCTGAGGCAGACCCATGATGAGTGTGGTCTAAGGTAAAACGGTCTCTGTGAGCTGCAGACTTGACAACGCCTGTCGCTTTGTATGTATTCTGTCAGTCAAGCTAGATAAACGAAATGAAATTGTCCCACGGTTGCTGTTCTCTGTTCATACATTCCTTTCATGTGGCCTGAGCACCGGTCCACAACAGTTTATCTCCTGATTCAAACAGTTTCCCAACCAGGCAACCTGATTCAACGGTTCTAAAGTCAACAAAGGCCTTTAAATTGGTTTCCTGCAGCTGAGATGCAAACGAATACAACCAGGTCCATGCTGTAATAGGTCAAAATACATAGTTTGTTCTTTAACCAACCACATTTAATGCTCTTATCACGAAGGTAATTTGGCTCCACTGATGCTAAAATCAAATGTTCCTTTTCTTCAAGCCTCATCCTCCATTATACATGTATTTCATATAGACATCAGGTGAATTTTACATTAAATCTTGTTAAGGAAATCATTTGGAGAATTGTGACGCTGTTTTTCCTGTTGACTGCTCGTGGGTACTGTGTCAAGATGTAAATGAACACATAAGGAAATTCAGTTCAGTCTCTGCATTTTTATGTCAGACAGTTTTCCAGGTTCATGTTTTTAGATGACGCCTTCACACCCACCTGCCCCCTCCCTGTTACTCACAGGTTTAGGACTTTATGCATTTTAGTCAGCAGGGGGCAGGCCGGTTTTAACTGTCGATTTTCTGTGTTATCAAGTCTGTTTGTTTCATATTTCTGCAACTTTATCCCTGCCTCCCGTGTGTGTGTGTTTGTTTTTTTTAAGCCTGTTGGACAATTCAAACATAAACACAGCACAAGCATTGAAATGGAAAAAAGGAACAATAATATTGTACAAAAAAGACAGTGAGAGAATTTGAAGTATAGTATTACAGATTAATTTTGTATTGTATTTATTGTGTATATTGACACTTTTTAAAAAGAAATGTACATTTAGTAAAACTGTAAATTAAACCTTGCTTCTTTTATGAATCACTGCAGATCCCCCTTTCATTTGTCCAGTTGTTTCCTTATCGTCTGGATTCATTCCTCTGAGTGATGAATGATGGCATGCTGCGTGAGAGTCAGGAGGGGATGGTGGTAATGGTGACGGCGGTGGGGTGTGTTCTTTATCAGACAGCCAGCAGGTGGTGCATGGAAGTGGAAAAGTAGGGCTTGTTTGTTCGCCTGAGTGCCTGAAGTGTCCATGGAGTTTGGGAGGGGAGGAGTTAAAGAGTGAAGAGGGGTAAAACTAACACATCTGTAAACGTATGACATGTTGCAGTAGCCTGAGTAGAGAGAAAAAAAGACAGAAAAATGTGGAGGGGTGCAGCTTGAGGCTGTGTTCATCATTCTAATTATGCATAAGTAGACGGTGAGGTTATGTCATGTTTATAAGAGAAAAAAATGACTCCACCCAAATTATTTACTCACAACCCCCTCCTCCTTCAGCTCCACACCCTCTGACCACAGCTCATCCCTGCCCTGAGCTGAGTGTTAGGGCTGCCCACAGCGTTGCCAGGCATCCCTTGAAGAGGAGGTGCATCCAACTCAAAGAGAAGTTTACCTCAGTGTAGTGCGTGTGCTTTTTCACCAAGCAGAGTAAGGATCTACGCCAGATTTGGAGCTCATCTGAAATACATTAAACCCTGGAGAAGAACGATTCTCTGTAATCCCGCTGCCCTGACGCTCTGCTGAGGGCTCCCATTTGCTGTCAGAGGTACACCCATACAAGTAGCTGCAGCTCCTCCAGCAGACTGACTGTTTTTGTGTCCTCAAGTCAAAATATTTTTCCAGGCTCCAGACGGCAAGAGAGAGGGAGAGTTGAAGACGTCTGTGCTTTCTCCATAAGAACTTGGTAATTACTGCTTTTCAAACTTTATATATGATTACGCCAGTCGGCTTGAATTTGTACTGTTACTCTAATATGTTCTGGTTATAATGCAGCAAAGGAAACCAAGCTTTAATGGTATTTAGTAGGTATCAGTAATGTCTATAAACTGTCTTTTTCCATTTCTTCTTTTGGATGCGTTAGTACTACTCCCCTCGGTTGCTCCTGCAGGCTACAATTAAAATACATTTGTGGTTCCAAGTCCAAAAACTGTTGCAACTGGTGTTCACAAATCCACAAGGCAATTTTCCATCATCATTTAACTTTAGAAATTCATCCCAGTTGATCCTTAACCCAACTTAAATTCTCAGGGGAAGCTTGAAATCAGTTTGTACCCACACGGCTCTGCTGGCACAATACTGTTTTTATGAAATGGTAGGGCAAATCACATTTAATGTCTCCCCTGTAGTTCCCCAGGGTTCGCCATTTTGACAAGAGCTCTGTCCACACAAGTCTTGTGATTTGTCTGTACTGTGCTGCCTTGTCTTCTCTGGGCCAATTTTTCCTTTAATCCTTGTTCAAATGGGATTTTTAAGAGAGAGAAGCGCTTCATAGATGAGTTACCGTCTACTGATGCATGTCTTACTTTTGTTTCTGCCTCTAATAATGAGCTGCAACTTCAAATCTTAATCCAGTGTTTCTGTTTATAAAGACAGAAGAGAAAAAGATTCTTACTTTAAGGGGTTAAAATGGGTTAAATTAGTTTTTCCTTGTATAGCCTTCGTGTTGAGGTCTTTTCCTTACATGAACAACTGAGCCGTGCATGTATGCAGGGGATAAAAGGAATGTCTTACTCATTTCACTGTAAAGCAATGATCTGTGTCTTTGCCCTACTCAGGGCTGGGTTTGCAAGTTTTCCAGTATGAACACCAATTTTTTCCAGGCATGCTCTGACAATGCCTGGCTCGCTCCTGGTGGGCTGAGGCTTACACCAGATTCCACATCCTTACTCTAGGTTGTGGCAGATTTTGTTCACCAGGCTCCAGGCACACAAAGAAACTTTTTGTCCCCTGGATTAATCTAGATTGGATTAACCTCTACCTTTTGTCTTTCCAGGAAATATAAATTGTCAGGGGAAGATTCAGAGTTCAAACGAAAACATCATCCCTATCGTTCCTCTTGGCGTGTGCAGAGGAGGCTTCAAGGACAGGAGCACAGCAGTCGCGTAAATACAGGAAACACCTGAAGATTTTCCAAGGTTTAGCCAAAGGAAATACAGCAGACGCAACTCTGTCAGTGATATTTGTAAGAGAATCAGAATCAGTCGATCAGCATGTCACGCTGGGGGCGAAAAAATGTGAAGAAAGCGCCAGAGGTGATCCGCACTGTGACAGAAGGGCTCAAGTCCCTGTATCGAAAGAAGCTGCTGCCTCTGGAGCAGTACTATGGTTTCCATGACTTCCACTCTCCCAGTCTGGAAGATGCAGATTTTGATAACAAGCCTATGGTGCTGGTGGTGGGTCAGTACTCCACAGGGAAGACGACATTCATCAAGTAAGACATTACACCTCTGCCTCAAACATGCAACCTGTTCACTTGTGTGTGAGTGTTAAGTTTATTTAAGTACGTGTAATGAAAGAAATAACAAGCTTTGTATGCGACTGACAGGTATCTACTGGAGCAGGATATTCCCGGGAGCAGGATCGGACCTGAACCCACCACGGATTGCTTCACTGCCATCATGCATGGTGAGGTGGAGGGGGTCATCCCAGGTAACGCCCTCATTGTGGACCCCAACAAACCTTTCCGCAAACTCAACCCTTTCGGAAACACCTTCCTCAACAGGTGAGCTGTGTAAAGATTCCACTGAGGCAGCCAGATACACATTAGTGAGAACAGACTCCATCAGGGAGCCCATACAGGGAATGGAGAGATAACAGAAAAGTTTTTCAGCTCTTTGGAATTTCAAGTGCTTGTGCCAAATTTCAGAGCAGGGAGGCACTCGCCTTATTTGTGGAAAAACTGAGAAAGGGAACGATATCACCCGAGAGGATGATGAACGCTAATGCACTCTGGCAGGAACAGCAATGTATGCAAGTTCAAAGTGGAGGTCAGAGGCCTCCACAGCCCCACGGGGCAGAGACAAACAAATGAAGTCACACGCTTGTGAGGCTTTGGGAATCTGTGAATCTTGACACTGAAGGTCACTGTCTTGGCTGCCAGATTTCTGTGTATGTTTTTCCACTTTTGGAAACCAAGAAAGTCAAATATCTTACAACAGAGCACTTTTATCTACCATAAGCATGAGCAGGCCTAAAGTGAGAGGCACATACAGTGTGCTCCTGTTAATGCGTCTCCAAAGTGAAGCTCTGATGCCAGTTTTCCAGCAGAGACCTTCCCTCCCTCCACAGGGTGTGTTTGCGTACGTATTTGCGTCTCTCCATTTGCGTTGACTTCCTGCTCTGAGAGCCAACGGGCTCGTTAAGTTCATAAGCTACAGGAAGTGGTGTTGTTGTTCTAAGCCACACATCGTTAGCAGGCCTTATTGTTTGATTCTGGCACTAGTGGTCATTTTCCTTCAGGAAGCACAGAGCAATGAGAGGCCTACATGCACACAATGGCCTGCAGAGGGGGGGGGGGGAGTCTACAGAGGGCAGCTTCCAATCTGCCCCTTAGATCACATTGGCCTCTCTGATATGAGTTAACCATTTTGCACATGATTTAGATTCTTTCCATCGACGCTGACAGAGTTGCTTACAAGAACAACCTCCATGAACTTTGTCATGTTTTATGTGAGTGCTCTTCTTTCTACCAATGAAAATATCAGGTTCCAGTGTGCCCAGATGCCAAACCAGGTCCTGGAGAGTATCAGCATCATTGACTCCCCAGGGATCCTGTCCGGGGCCAAGCAGAGAGTGAGCCGAGGTGAGAGAAGTAGAAAAGGTGAGGAGAGGGCATGGGGGGGTCCCGCAGAGACACAACATCTCCTGAGCACCGTCTCATAAACTCATCTCATTGGCTCGTCTGGCTAACTCCTGGGATTTGTTTGCTCTGTCACAATAACACTTGGCAGCAGGACGAGAAAACTTCTCAGCAGCAATAAACTCATAATCAGGAGCAGAACTGAGTCCTGTCAGCACATATGGAGAAATAACCATCATCATCATCTCACTGTAGATTTTACATTTTTCTATTCATCTACACTTCGAGTAACCCACCATTCAATTCAATCTGCATGAGAAACTAACAAGTTTAAATGGTGAGTGCATCCATGTTATGAAAAACATGTTTCCTCAGTGAACTCTGCTGGTATCAGCTGAGCAGATTGTTTTGGTTTTCTCTGCGGAGGTTTTGAAATGTCTGACGGCAAGATTTATCTTTCCCTACCCCAAAAACAATGAAGATGCACGGAAGGTTCTTTGTGGATTTCACAACAATAAATAAATCTATGTACAGTATACCATTCCTTATATCATAAAATATATTAAAATTCAGAATCTGCGTCCCAATTGTAATCCAAATGATCATAGTTAAGTCGCATCTAAAAACAAGTGCTGCTACAAAGTGCTGTAAAATAAAAGAAGATACAATAAAAACAATAAGTAATAAAAATACAAGAGAAGAGTGAAATAAAATAACAGACTAACATAATATTAAATTAAAAAATGCAATGATGTGAATAAAAACATTCGGTTTGGATTGAAGTGAGTAGCAGTGGGATATCCAAAGTAATCAGGAAGAAATATGTATTTTGTAATTTGGGTGAACTGACCCTTTTTAGTATGAAGAAATCAGCCCAAAAAATACGTTGTTTTATTAGGCTGCTATTTTAAATGAATAAGATACAGTTTTTACTGTGTGGTGTGTTACATGAAGGGAGATTTGACGTGCACCGAGCAGATGTGTGAAGGGTTTGTGTCTGTGTCGACCTTCTCTACCCTCTCCTGCCCCTACTTTTTATAGTTGAAGAAGCTAATGCAGATTCTTTTTATTCGATATTCTTTATGTTCCTTCAAACAGGTTATGACTTCCCAGCCGTGCTGCGCTGGTTTGCTGAACGCGTGGACCGCATCATCCTGCTCTTTGATGCCCACAAACTGGAGATATCAGATGAGTTCTCTGAGGCCATCGGCGCCCTG